GACCAGCTGAGCCTGAGCCAATGAGTCGCCATTACTGTCGTATATTAAGTATTACAAAAACCAATAAAAGCCGATAGCATTGATTGGTGGCTGTATATGCAGAGTCACTGTATTTGGATCATTCTGAACACTTGTATTTCACAACATGGGTGATTTTGCAGGAGGTGCAATGCAGGCATGTCTAAATTAAGTGAGAAAATAGGCAGCCAGAATGACAAATTAGGACGAGGAATCAACTACACAAATAATATTGCTCTGACAAATGCTTAATTCAGCCTGCTTGATAAAGTAATAATAGCCAGTTAGTTGTAATGATTTGGCAGTACAGTTGTATTGCTAATTAATGATATTAGCTTAAATTGTCTGTTGGCTACACTATATGGCCAAAAATATGTGGACACTTGACCATCACACCTACATGAGCTTGCAAGACGTCCGATTTCAGAAGCATGGGCATTAATATTGCAGCTATAACAGCCTCCACCCTTCTAGGAAGGCTTTCCACAAGAGTTTGGAGTGTGCCTGTGGGAATTTGTGGCTGTTCATTTAAAAGAGCATTTTGTGAGGTCAGACTCTGATGTTGTACGAAAAGGCCTGGCTCACAATTGATGTTCGAGTTCATCCCAAACGTATCCAGTGGGGTTGAGGTCAGGGCTCTGTGCAGCCCACTGAAGTTCCTCCACGCCAAACTCATCAAACCATGTCTTTATGGAGCTCACTTTGTGCATGGGGCTCAGTCATGCTGGAACAGGAAGGGGTCTTCCTCAAACTGTTGCCACAAAGTTGGACACATATAGTTGTCTAAAATGTCTTGTATGCTATAATATTACCATTATACTTCACTAGAACTTAGCAGCAGAGCCCAAACTCTGAAAAACAGCCCCAGACCATTATCCCTCCTCCACCAAACTTTACTGTTGCCACTGTGCGTTCCGAGTGTTGTTCTTCCATTCGCCAAATAGAGATTCATCCATCACACTACCAGATAGTGAAGCATGATTCATAACTCCAGAGATGTTTCCACTGCTCCACAGTCCAGTGGCGGCATGCTTGACACCACCAGCCGACTTGGCATTGCACATAGTGATCTTAGGTTTGTGTGCAGTTGCTCGGCTATGGAAACCCATTTGATGAAGCTCCCAACACATAGTTCTTGTGCCAGTGTTGCTTCCAGAGGCAGTTTGGAAGTCTGTAGTAAGTGATACGAAAGAACGTTGTGAGTTTGTGTGCTCTACTCTTCTGTTGTTACTCAGAGATGCTCCTGCTTCGTTCCTTACAGTTGTCCGGGGCAGATCTAGCAGGGCAGAAATTTCTGTGGCTCTTATAATAAAGGTGGCATCCTATGACAGTACCACGTTTAAAGTCATGGAGCGTTTCAGTATGACCCATTCTACTGGCAGTGTTTGTCTATGGAGATTGTATGGCTATGGCTATGTGCTTGATTTTATATACCTGTTAGAAATGGGTGTGGCTGAAACACCTGAACTCAGCAATTAAGAACTTCGTCCACATACTTGTGGCCATACAGTATACATTAGCCTCACAGCTCCAGAGTAAAAATAAAGAAGCAAAACATGTCTTGGCTGATGGACTACTTGTGGTTTCAGGGAGAAAATTGCTCAAATCAGATTTTTCACCAAGCTATCGCTGTAGGCGCTCTGCTCAAGGGCATGATGGCAGTAGCTATCAGCTATTATTGAACCCAGGACATCTTCAGCTGCAGTCAAGTTGCCTGACCGCTGAGCTGCTAGCGGTCAATCGTGGCCGCTGCTGAAGTACCTCGGTGCTGGGCTGATTTTCAGGCTGTAATCTGCTTGTGTTGGCGGTGGGACATGCAGGATCAGGCGTGTAATCCCTTATAGCAGCACAGCCCTCCTCAGGCCAGCCTAAACCACACAGCAATCCCACAGCAGCCTAGGTAAAAGAGCTTAGCATCTGAAAGGGTCTCTGGGGGCTAACAGGGGACAACTTACACCAAGAAAGCAATACCAGGCTAACCGTGGTGCTAGTGGGGATAATAAAATTGCTGCTTTTAGTAGTGTTGTTAAGACTGTTGGTGGTGTTGTTATGACATGAGAACTGACATGTTGTCCATAGAGGTGCAGTTATCATGCTAAAAGAGCCTTGTTTCTTTAACCCTTAGAAATGGCAGCTATCACAGATGATAATAAAAGCATGCTGAGATCTTATCAGTGATCAAAACTAGGAATTAATTATTCAACTGTGTAGTGAATTGTGTAATTACATTTGTATATTTATTAGGGCTGTCAGATTAATAAGTTTAACATTTGTCTTATTATAAGTGGACAAAATAAGCTTTATCAAAATATATTTTAGTTTACAAAATGTAAAAAAATTATTTTTATCATTTAGTTTTCCACTTTTCTATTGCTTTTGTTGCTCCGGCAAGCACTCTGTAGCGTAGTCTACTGAAGGTGCACAAAGTTTTCCTTTAAAATACATTTAAAGCTGTATTTGTATGAGAGGGCTACAATTGTGGATGTTGTCATAGCAACATACAGCACACTGTAGCTGGGCTTTAGCCTGCAGTACTATAAATGGAAATAGGAAAATGCATTAACAGCATTAAATAGTAATTTATTGCATTCAAGTATTATTAATGCATTATTAATGTGTTATTAAAGCATTATTAACATTAACATAGACAACATAATATTTATGCAATGTAAATTTAATCTATAGCAGAATTTCAATAAATCTAGGCTTCCTAGAGGTAATTACCTCTTTAAAAAGACGTTTTAAGATACACGTCTTTCACTGTACAGTAACAGTTTAAACTAACATACACTGAATGGAATCAGGTAGCACGTACTTCATTAGAATCTAAAATGAATTTCAAGCCTGCATAAAGCTACATATATCTCTTGCTCCCTGGAGCATCCTCTGCAGCCAAATACCCACAGTTCCCCTCTCCTCATCAGGAGGCCATTTTCCCATCTCCTTCCAGCTCTGAAGAGGTTTGGTTCACGCATTATTGCTTGATCAGTTTGTAGGCAGAGAGACAGAGAGACAGGCGGACAGACAGATGGACGGCACATTTTTTTCCTTATTTGCCTGAGGTGTCTCTCCCCTACTGTTGAACAAACTCATATTCCCTTTCATAGCCCATTGATCAAAACGCAGCTTAGCCAGGGGGCTTCGCGCGCCGCTCCGGCAGAGTCCAGCATTAGAGCGTCCCCCTTTTCTTCTCACAAACGCCTGATGATGTGCTCTCAAACGCTCGATGACTCGCATTTAGGATCAAGCACAGCTTTCCCCCCACTTTGAAAATCCAACTTAGCCATAAACTTTAGCCCCGACTATGGAGTTCCTGAAGCCTCCTTTGAAGTGGGTAAAAATTAGGAATGTCTCTTGAAAGTTGCCTTAAAGATGCCAGTGAGAGCTGTCAGTTTTCTAAAGCTTTCCTTCCTGTTTTTTTTTAAAAAATCTTTCCTTTTCTCACAGCCTCATAAGTGGGAGTGATTTTCTTGCACACAGATTTTCTGACAAACACACACTTCCCTAGATTTTACACTCATTTCCCACACATGCACATATGTATGTATGTATGTACAGCACTCTGTAAAAAGGCACTTAAGCAAAGTTTAAAATAATATATCTTAGCAGTGAATGTGTTTCTGCCAGTATAAACACTTAATAGCATTAATAGCAACTTATATAATGTCTTGTTTTTAAATAAGTAGTTCTGCTGCTGTGAGCTTGTTAGAAGAACACAGGTTGGTCCAGCACACTTGATTTAACATAATGAAGTACTTAGATAAAACAGATATTGGATGATACTGCAGTGAATATTGAGTATATATATATATATATATATATATATATATGTAACTAGATGTACAGTCTGAGAGAAGGTAAAGAATTTCCCCATTAGTATTCTCCTCATGCGTTTTGCGAGTAGCTTTTTAAATCTTTAATTGGGCTGGATTCCTGGTCTCAGCTCTGCGCTGTGCGTCTTATTGGAGGCGTTAGGCGCTGAGCAGGTCTGAGTAATAGAGGTTAAACATTATTAATAGGCAATGAAACAATCTGCTGAGAGCAGGTACTTCTGTGTCCAACAACAAGCTACATTGTTCAGCCACCGGCCCCTCATTTGAATATGCAGATTTAGGTCCATGAGGTAAAGCTGAATTAGGGATGGAGCTGAATTTGATGACTGGTTTGAAATGTCTTTTTTTTCTGAAAACTTCTCTTCAAAGTGACGCACCATTTCTTTAAAAGGCTCATATCCTGCATTTGTCCAGTTTTGTTTTTTTTTTCCTGAGGTCCACTTAGTATTAGTGTTGGTTTATGTACCAAAACCAGTCGTAATTCATTTTTACATTTTACATTTTCCAAACTTTATTAAACAGTCTGCTTTTGTTACTGTCCCTTTAAGGGTGATATATGTAAATGAGCTCAGTTCTGACTGGCTGCCTAATATTATGCCTCATTCAAAAAGCAGTCTGGGCTGAAACACTCCTTATAACTTCCATATGGGTGGGACTAAGTTGCTGTAGACTGAATAGGCAAAACATTTTAATGCATTGTTTTTTGAGACATCAGAGAAAATAAAGAATTAACACTGGCATTTTTACAACTTAATCCTAATCTAATATATGGACTTAATTCAGTGTTTTTTTAAGAAAAAATCATTTTTCAGCTCTTTAAAAATCATTATTTCTTGTTCTAAGACCATTACAATTGCCTACAAGGTTTTTTGCTAAGTGAAACTTTAGCCTAGCATGACCAGACCATGAACCTGCATCTTAACACCTTGCTAGCAGCTATAGCTAACAGCAGCATGGCCTCAGGCTGTAGTGAAAACAGCAAATAGCACTGACTAAAGGCCAGCAGTCTAGCAGCTAGCGCATGCTAGCAGCATTAGCTAAATGCTAAGCCCTGCCTGCAGCTCATTAAAAGTTTAAGCCTGTTGCTAACCGCGATGCTTGTTTACCGTTAGGGTTAGGCCTGTGTTCAGCATTGTTTTTGTCCCTCAGGCGATGGTGGAGACGGTGAATAACTTGCTGCAGCCTCAGGCGCAGTCGGCCTGGAAAGAGCTTTCGGCCAGCCAGCAGCTCCGCGCCGCCACCATGCTGCTGGACACGGTGGAGCAGGGCGCCTTCGTGCTAGCCGATAACCTGCTGAAGACAGACGTGGTCCAGGAGAACACCAACAACATCCGTAAGTACTTTGGTTTCATCTCAACCGTCCACAAGTTTGAAATCGATGTTTTCAATAAAATAGTTTCCAAGTGAGGGGGTCCGGTCACCACCAGAACAACCACCACTCTGGATGACTCTGTTTAGATCTTTTAATAATGCAGAGAATTTGAAAACCTCCTTTAAAGCATCATTTTTCTGCTGTTTTTGAATTGCACACTTAGAGAAGGTGAACATGCCCTGTTGAGAGATTCTTGCTTTTAGCGTGTAGCTGCTGAAATGCTATTGATTTCATCACAGTAATAAACAGAGTAAACTCTGCACACTTGTATGCCTGTGCTTACGGGCTCAGTGAGATTTTTCTGTAGGCCCTGCTCCGGCTCTTTATCGGGCATTGGTTTATTTGACCCGGGGTGTTTTCAGGCCGCGGGCCACATCGATCCCCACTGCTTTACTGTGGATTTGGAATGAGCGGCTTTATCATCTCGCTCGGCCCCATCCCCTGGCTTAGGCTGCTCTGATAGGCACAGATAACACGTCTGGAGCGGCTATTCCTCTGTCTAATTCACTCCATTAGCACAGCTCGCCAGGGTGCAGCTGCTGCGTGGGCCATTCAGAAATACAGAATCACTTGCCACATGAATATGCAAATTGCTGCTGTCGGAACAAAACCTTGTATCTCCATTTTTGAGTTTTTGACATAATTTGAAAATGCCTTTACATATTATTTAAATTTCATGATGAATGAACCAAACCAAACCACCCAGAATTCCTTGTAAAACATTCAAAGTTGTCATTTTGGAGATGCGAGGTTTTGTTCTGACAGCAGTGATAAACATATTCAGTGACTTGGGCAAGACTGTTTGCTTGGTTTTACACAATGCTGTGCATAGCCTTAATGGACTTTTGGACAGCAGGTTACAGGCAGCTCAAAGCAACTTTAAAAACTTAAACAAGTTAACTTTTAAAAAGGTGTTAAAAAGTTTTAAAAAGCACCCTGTTTTGAAATAAAGGTGTTTCAGATATAAATTTGTTCAGAATTGTATTCAGTGAGCTTTCTCACTTATTATGGATTTTTTTCTGAATTTTGTTTTACAGCTTTGTACAGGTTACATGAAGTTATAGAGCAGTTATACAACAACTAAAACTTGGAAAGGTCCAGACTTCTTACTTAATTACAAGTTATCTTTAAATAATTAACCATTTATGCTTTGTCTAGGCAGCTAATAAAAAAGGCATCAAACATAATTTGATTGAATTTAAACACACACTGGTTTATAATCTAAAGAGCATATTAAAATGGGATGGCCATATTAAATAAATATAAAAATAAATAAAAAATAAATGTGCTGAAAATCTTTTTAGAAGAAAAAAGTAAGTAATAATATAAGCTTGTTTTAATGAGCATTTCACTCTTTTGCGCTGTCAGGAAATGGACGAACACTCTGGTAGACCTTTCGTGTTGCACTTTGGGTTTATTATGACTTATATTAGCATCATTCTTTATGTAAATCTGCAAACATATTGATTTTATATTACAGAAAACAGTGATTCCAAACTTTTGAATGAGTCTCATCACACTGCGGTGTTCTATGTTGTTGCAGGCTTATCAAAACCTACAATATGTAAGCCTTTTGAATTCCAGCTGCACTTAACGTGGTGTGAACATTTCATGAGGAACGGACCAACAGAAATGCTCCAGAATTACGTGGAGTAAAATCTCAGTACGTTAACATACAAGAATGGGGAATGATTTGTCGGTGTTATATAAAGTTGCCATCTTATAAGATGTGAAAATGTGTAGTTTTTTTTGTGGAGGTGAATGTTGTATGGTATGGTTTAGTCATCAGGCCTCAAAGTGACCCATGTCCGAACTTCACTGCTGGAAATTACGGTGTAGCGGGTGGATAATCAGCAGGTTTTTAGTCCCTGTATGGAGGTCAGAATTTGCATGCAGCAAGCAGTTATTCAGTGTCCTTTACGCTGAGGCTTTTTCTGTTCTTTCTGAAGGGAAGACATTTTAAGAACGCTAACGTGGTTTTCCGCTCAGTGCACACATATGTTTGTGTATATCAGACTGTGGGAAGTCAGCACTGGGGGGATCGAGATGCTGCTGGTTTATGCATGTGCACGTGAGAGCTTGTGTTGGTGTGAGGTTGGAGATTATACGTCGCGTGGCGATGCTAAGAAGGGTTGTCTATATGTGTGCGTGTTTGTATTTGCGTGCATGTTGTTTGAAAAACGGATTCGCTGATACGGTGTATCTCCTTCCTTTCGAAATACAAGGATTAAAGGAGAACCGGCTGCCATGGCAACTCTGAAATGTAGGTCTCGAGCTCCACGCTGGAGAAGCTAGCATTTTGGGAATTAATAAAATGGAATTTATTGTGTCTGGCATCCAATTTATCCTGATATTAAGGGATCCAGGGGCGGCCAGAGAGCGGCAGAAGGAGTCCCTCCCGACAAGCTCCTTTATGGTGCTGGTTTTATACCCTTCATGCTGCCCTGAGATTAATCAGGCAGGTTTGACACGTTTAGCACACCTCCAGCTCCTGTTTGATACGCTTAGTTTGCCGTGTGATAGGGTTTGTTTGGCCTACGTGTCCCCTGTGTCCCCCACTGGAGTCACGATGGAGCTCGTAGTGAAGCAGTACCCCAGTGTAGTGCATAGTAAAGTAAGGCCCTAATGCTGATCTTATTCAAAATGGAGTCTAAGGACGAATGCTATCCTAGTCCAAAATGGTAACGGTGAACTAAGGCCCAGTGCTCTTCTAATTCAAAATGAAGTTCATAGACCCCAGAGCGTTTCTCTTTAGCAAAGTCTGTAGTAAAGGATGGTCACCAAAGACATTCAGAGCCAAAATGGAGTGCATAGGAAAGTAAGATCCAGGCCATCTAAGCCAAAACAAAGTCAACACTAAAGTAAGTACTCATTGCTATTCTGGTCCAAAATGGAGTGTGTTAAAGAAAAGCCAAAATGCTGTACTCATCCTAAATGGAGTTGATAGTAAAGGCTTAATGCTCTTCTCATCCACAAGGAAGTTCATGGTAGTGTTAATGGTATGGAACCAAAATGGAGTCTGTAGTCATATAATGTCCAATATTGTTCTAATCAAGAATGGAATCTGTAGTTATGTAAGGCCCCAATGGTGTTCTAATCCAACAACAGAGTCTAAAGTAAGACTTAATGCTAATCTAGTCCACAATGGAGCCCATCGTTAAGATATAATGATGTTTAAATCCAAGTAAAGAACAGCCTGTGCCGTTCTGACCTAAAATGTAGTCTAGAGTGGTACCTGGTTGGTCTTAGTGGTAAACAAAGCTAAGCTCTGGTGGAAATATAGAACATTTTGTGAAAACTCTTCAGCTACTTCATGATGTTTTAACCCTGTTTCAGTGTCATCATACCCTAACAAGTAGCCTAGATCATTTTCTGTTGTTTACACTGTTAAATCTGAAGTCATTTTGAGGATTGCTTCTGAGGAAGCGCAGTCAAACGTTTGTTCATATAGTATGTGTGTTCCATGTAAATGGGTTTTTACTGATTTGGATAGCCTTGCATGATGTTTAGTCTTCTGTTTTGCTAAGTAACTGTTGATAAATGTACTTAAAGACCAAAGATTTGTACCCAGCTAGCTAGCTAACAATGAGTGTGTTTACATGAACTCAATAATCCGATCATAATCGGATTTCTACAGATATCCGATCATTCAAATGGTCATGTAAACACCATACTCTGATCCAGAAATCCGATTAAGGAATCCTATAAAGAGAGCTGGATTTCAGCTCAGTAATCAGATATCTCAGGTCATGTAAACTCTTACTCTGATTTCTTTTGGATTTCTCTGTTTACACATGTATAGAACAGACTGTTGTACCGGAAAATAAGCAAGCGGCGTTGAGGCGAGATGGCAGCAAAATTCTTTTAGAGCATTGTTGAAACCAAATACATCCTTGACGAAATTAAGGAATTAAAAATTTCTCATCTCCTAGATGATTCATGTTCATATTTTCATGTAAAAAATGGCACAATGTTTTTTTTTTTTTAAAAAGCTGTTGTATGAAATTTGATTTACATTACATTGTGTCAAGTCTTCTTCTGTGAGTTTATTGGCCGATTGCAAAGCAGAAATCTGATTACTTAAGTGCCTATAAACACGTTGATCAGATTACTGACAAAATCTGATTTTGCAGTTATTGGATTATAAATCAGATTATTAAGTGCATGTTAGCACACTCAGTGTCTGTAGTTTAATAATAGTTTAATAGTTTAAGTTAGGTTGGTTTGTGGTTTTAGTAATGTTAGGTAGGAAAGCTGGTTTACAGTAGTTTGAACATCATGTTTCCAAAACTTGATTGGATGGCTTTGAACCTGACAGTAAAATGTTGCACAGAGTGCTGTTTTAAGCCAAAACAAACAAGTGGCACCAATTCTATTTTAAGGCATAGTTATGTCTATAGTAAAACACCAGTGCTGTTCAAATCCAAAATGGAGTCTGTAGTAAGTAGACCTTAATGTTATCTTTATCCACGGTGGAGTTTATGGTCAGTTAATGTCCCAGAGTGAGAAGTTAGTTCATAGAGTTTGGTGTATTGTACAGTTCTGCAATGTTTCAGCTCTGGAAAACATTGTATATGCTCAAAATAAAATGAAATGATATTTTTCTATTCCCTCAGGCTCAGAAAATGCACATCTCCTAGTCTGAGAGATCTGTAGTGCACTATTGCGATTGTTTCTTTTCAGGGCGTGTGTAAGTGTTTATAAGTGTGCTGAGAGTGTGTATGTGTGAGTGTGTACACCCCACAGTCTTAATCTGGTGAGCAGATTTGCTGCGATTATCGTGTTATTTTGAGCGTCTTTGACTGGGCCCTGGAAACTCGCAGTGCCTAAAGCCAGTTTTAAGCTTTTCAGGAGAAGCAAAAGCGCTCCTGCTAGTATGAGGCCTTTCTTGCCCCGCCGCAGCCGCAGCTGATTCCTCCTTATCTTCTCTCTGTATTGTCCTATCAGCATGCGAAATAAAACCTCTACAGTGAATATACTGCAGGAAAACAACCAAAACAGCAATGCGCCGCAGAGCAGCTGAATGAATGAAGATCAGCTGGTTCCCAAGCACAATGGGCAAGGGCTTAGTTTTAGTTTACTGTGTTTGGGGAGGATTTTGCAGCTTACTACAGTACAGGTTGTCTGAAAGTGTTGTTCAGTTTCGCTATATTATGAGAGGGCGATGTGGTGGGATGCTGAAAACTGAAGCAGGAAAAGTAAAACTTTAGTTTTTAACTTCACAAAGTAAGCTTAGACACCAAAACAGAGATATTCACAAGTCTCTTTATGCAAGTGACGTCTTGAGTTTCTGAGGTGTGCGTGTCTGAGTCAGGTCTCAAGTCTGCGAGATATGAGTCCAAGTCACGGCTCGAGTCTCTGAGGTATGAATTAGAGTCAATGCTCTGATGTCCCTGAGGTGTGAGTCAAGTCTAGGTGCACTTCCGAGTCAAGTGTCTGAGGAGTTTCTGAGGGTACAAGTTAGGAATTGAGACTCTGAGATGCGAGTCTCTTTCGAGTTTTGAGTTTCTAAGGTGCAAGTCTGAGTCAAGTCTCGAGTCTGTGAGGTGCGAGTTTCTGTCAGTGCTCAAGTCTCTGAGGAGTAAGTCAAGTCTTGAGTCTGTGAGATGTGAGTCCAGGTCAAGGTTTGAGTCTCTGAGGTGTGAGTCCAAGTCAGTGCTTGATTTTCTAAGGTGCGAGGCTGAGTCAAGTCTCGAGTCTGTGAGATGTGAGTCAAGGTTTGAATCTCTGAGATGCATGCCCGAGTCAAGTCTCTGAGTTGTAAGTCCAAGTCCAATCTTGCATATCTGAGGTGAGAGTCCAAGTCACGTCTCAAGTCTTTAAGATGTGAATCAAGATTCGAGTTTCTAAAGGTGCATGCCTGAGTCGATTCGTGATTATCTTAGTTGCATGTCTGAGTCAAGTTTAAGTCTTTGAGATGTGAGTCAAGGTTCGAGTCTCTGAGATGCATGCCTGAGTCAAGTCTCAAGTCTCTGAGGTCCAGGTCTTGTCTCAAGTCTCTGAGGTACAAGTCCGAGTCAAGTCTGGAGTCTCTGAGGTCCATGTCAAGTCTCAAGTCTCTGACGTACAAGTTTAGGTCTAGTTTCTAGTCTCTGTGTAAATTGGAGTCAAGAGTGAGGTCTTAAGTCTCTGAGGCGTGAGTCTGGCTCAAGTCTCAAATCTCTGAGGTTCGAGTCCAACACGGTGCCCTCGCACATTCTATCAAGAAAAATTACATGTAATAATACTTAAAACCTATAAAGCCACTAGGTGGAGCCATTTCAGTTGTATATTAAAATTCGGTTAAATATGTACACTGTGAATACAGCAGTGTGTAGCAAGAGCATGTTTACTTTTAACACTGCCACAGCCAATAGTGGATCAGTATGTCACCGGATGAAGCTCAGAACAATTAGAGATGTGACAAAATGGTCTTTCTAACAAAAACTAATTCAATAAAATAATATTGTGTTCCGTAGACAGCAACAGTAAACCATTTCAAGACGAATACACTAATGACAAAATCAGCACAGTATCAGTCTCTGAAGCAACCCTAAACTTTCGTCCATTGTCCCAGTGTTCTTTTAGTTGGAGTGGTTCTCCTCTGATATTTAAACAGATATTGAACAGCACTGGTTGGAGCACACTCAATAGTGCTCTACACAGAGATGGAAGCCAGGCAGTTCCAGGGATTTCTCGAGAAATACATGTCATCATGAAGCTTGTCATCTGCTGGGATTAATTTGGTCGCATGAACAGTCAAGTGCAGGCAACCATTAGCAGTGATCTGAATCTTTTCATTGAGCATTAAATCCCTAAATGTAGCATAGCTCGAATGATGCAATGGTACATGTGACTGGTGCAAACAGCTTGAATGAGGTTAGCTCCTGGGTGGGTGTATTCTGAACCATAACCCAGTGGTATTTCTGTACAGTCTTGACAGTGATCAGCCTGATTCTGTTCTTTGTGTTTTTGTTGTGTCCTGCAGAGTTGGAGGTGGCTCGGATGAGCACAGACGGAAATCTGCCTGACCTGAAGTTTCCTCAGACGGGAGACCAGAGCAACTCCATTCACCTGTCTGCCAACACCCTGAAGCAGCACGGCAGGAACGGTGGGTCATCTACAGCCGGACACAGCCTTAAGCCGTGGTGTACCAGTATGAAACCGAATGCTGAATGCTTTACAGTGATGAATCCATAAGCCCTGATAGGCCATGCGTTACAGTGATTTTACCACTCATCCACTTTCACCCCTCATTGCTCGAAAGCAGCTCAACACAGAGTCACGTTTCACACACAGAGAGCAAACAGTGGTCTAGCTAATGTGATATCAGAGTCACAGAGAAAAATATTTTGTTTGATTATATTAATTTAAAAAATTTAGTTTATTGATGTTCCATTAGGTTAAATCGCTATAATGCATGGTGTCATACAGCTTATCGCTTTCGTAAAGAACCATCACAAGATTTATTTAAAATTACATTAATCTCAAACAAAAAACAAAATCTATTAAATGATATTTAATACTAATTACAATAGACGTTTTTTTTTCCTTCTAGCAATGTTGTTAGCTAACAGTAGTCTCCTCTGCAGACCAGTTTCTGCTCCCACCATGATGAATGTCGTAAACTTACGCTATGACACGAACACACATGCAGAGAACGTACCTACGTGCTCCCATTGGGAATGTAATCAGATACAAGTGTTTACATGGATATTATTCTTCTGTTTAACAGATTATTTACAGGATTGCCAGCCTCATAATAGAAATTGCATTCTGAATGGGCTCAATCGGGCTTGTCTAATCTCAAGTGTTTACATGAACACATTCTGTTCCGATTGAGCTATTAGTCAGACTATTAGTGGATTATTGAGCTGCATGTAAACGTGGCTAGTGGTATTGCTGTTGTCCAGACAGTGGAAAGTATCTACTGTCTGGACAACAGCAACATAAATATAATAATGTGTGTATATATATATATATATATATCGCCCACCCTTTTTTCCAGCTGAGGTTCCAACGCTAATCCATTTTTTCAAAGTCATATATTAGCAATGGGCTGGAGCTAAACTCTGCAGGTAGACAGTACTTTGCGCACTCCTTTCTTAGAGGATTGCGTCATGCACAAATGCCACGAAAGGATCTTATGGACATCAGTTAGCCAGTTAGCACACAGCTGTAACTCTGCTAACTGCTCCCGCTTGCCATCAGTCATTCTTAGCAGTGTTAACATTAGGCAGTGGACAAATTCTTTTAACAGGTAATCAATGAGACGCTGTGCCACAGGGACAATGAAGAGTGATGTTTTTCTGCAGTTGTTGGGCAGAAATCTTGTCCGGACTCTAATGGCTTTCCTGTTTGTTGTATAAGTGTCAAGGTTAGCATGTGGCTAAGAGCAGCTAATCCTGCACCTTCTGCACAGAGCTGTATGGGCGAGATAGGACAGGATATTATCTGTGTTTGTCTGGCTGAGAAATGTTCATTGAGATAGATCAGTTTTGTTTGGAGGAGGAGTTTTTAGAATCTGCTGTGACACTTTTGGGATGTGTAGGATCTATATCGTATTCTAACGAGATGCTGGGGAGATATTTTTAAAAGATGCCCACTAGCGATTTTCACTTCCTTTTTTTCACAAAAAAGTGAGTCCCAGTGAGCCAACACACTTATATAAGCATTCCCATGTTGCATAATGAAGGGAAGGGAGACAGTATTGGAAGTGCTTAGCAGTTTTGTTTTGGCATCTGAATTGAAATATAGCCTAAACTGTGCTTTTTACAGCCTGGAGTTTAATATTGAAAAGTTAATTAATAGTGGAGTTTCCACACAGATCGTTATTCACTATAAATGAAGGTGAGTCATTAGTGCTGAGACCATTTCTGGTTTATCTGTTTGTTCCCTTTGAAAGCCCTAAAACAGAAAACTGATTGGCTTGTACAGTGCTGGTCAATAGTTTGGACACATCCACTCATGAAAGATTTTCTTTATTTTTACAATTTTCCACATTCTACAATAATAGTGTGCATACAGTAGAGTCTGTTTTTTTTTTCATTTAAACCTGGAATCTTGAAAAGTTTAATCATAGAAAAGTTATGACACTTTAAATGGAGAAGAAATGATACAAAAAGGTCAGTATCAATCTTTCCATTGAAGCTTGTCTTCAGACGACTCTCAGGTGGAATTGATCTAATGATCAGAAGCTTGTGCACAAACTTGGAGTCCATAGCAGCTTGAGTGCATACTCAAAAGAGGACACCCCACCAAATACTGAGAAATTCTGAAATGCATGTAAACATTTGAAGATTCTACTTTTCACTCGGATTGTTATTTTAATCATTTGTAACAAAAAACTTGGTATAAAATTAGAAAGGAATGCAAAATAGAAGCATTTTCACCAGTGGTTTCAGACACATGAAACAAAAAGTGTTAAATGATAAATATTGATTATTTTTATTACACTCTCTTGGCTTTGAAGACGTTCTATATATGCTGAGAGCTTGTTGCCTGCTGAAAACAGCTTGTCGGAGGGGACAAAATTATATTTGTTTAATCATTTTTTCCTTTCATACTTAGGGCAAAGTGTCCTGGCAGAGAGCTGCTGCCACTGTTTTACATTTCTAACAACTGACTGGAATCTGGTTAGACTGCCACTTGTTTAACAGTCAGTGACATATCTATACTTCAAGTAGGCGTGGAGTGATGTTTTTTCTCATAAAATTGGTCCCACCCATCACATCACAACCAAAACGTGATTGGTTGATTCCACTGTCCGTACCTAAGTATATTGGTTGTTAATCTGAAATGTTAGGCCTTTAGTTCAGCTCCTGAAGCCCTAACCAATGGGAGAGCTCGCTTGGCTGTATCTACTTAAATACCACAGACACAAAGAATCAGACAGTTTTCCACCCCTTTGACTCCAAATAATACTTAAAAATGAAATGATGAATTGCCAAAATACTTGAAAAGAATAAATACAACAAGCATGATGATTCTTTTAGATAAAAATGAAATAAAAATTACAGACTGTGTTTTTTATGTTTTATTGAAATCATTAGGCCTTGAGGTTTTCCCATAGGTGATAATGCAGTGCTTCTAGACAGTGCTGTATTAAAATAATGGAGATGGAGGATGCTTGTATTTGGGCTAAATCTCTGATCTTCCAGCGATATGATTTGATTATGGTTCTTTTGGAAGCACAGTGTGAAATTTCGAATTACCACATTATTATCACAGTTTAACTGGATTGTTTAGGTGCAGTTCAGGTTTATTTGTAAAAATACACTTAATACACAACAGTGGATGAAGAAACTATTTACGAAATAGTTAATAATATAGACAATGAAAACAATATGCCAGAATTTTTGTGTTTTTATATTTGAAAATAGCTTGGGAAAGTTATTTATTTATTTATTCATTCATTCATTCATTCATTCGTTCATTTATTCATATATTCATTCTCACAAATTTTCTCCTAAATTTATTAGTGTCCGATTCCACCCACTAGTTAAGACTCCCCCAATCACACAATACCAAACTGGCATTAATGTATCATTGGAGGAGAACACTAACGGCCAACAGACACCCACATTGGCTAGAATTGTGCTGGATGATGGGAGAGATGGATGGCTGTGGGATCGCCAAAGAAGGAACTCATGATCACCTGACAACAGTGTCAACACTTAGATGATTTTGACCAAAAAATGAGTGCATATGTTCTTATTGATATAATCAATGTGGTTGGATTGCCACACCCCTCAACTGTACATTCTGTGGTTTAAATCCAAACCCTGTTTAAGTACACTAGGAAGTACATTGCCTAGTAAGTTGTTAGCTCCTCATGTCCTTCCCTATATAAGGAAGTAGGGCTCCATTTCACATTCAGCCAGTGTCTAATCAGCCTATTATTCTCTGACCTGTCCGTCAAATAATTGATTCCCCCTTTTCCCGAGGCTTCATTACACTTGCTTCTATGCAAATGGGGCGCACTTTCTCGTCGTTCGTTGCACCGCGTTTTATGAGCAATCCAGTAACCAGGAGCCACACTCATTCATCAAACCTCAGTGGCTCTCCCTCTCTCTCTCTTTCTCTCCCTCTCTCTCTCTGTCTCTCTTGCGTTTTCTTCATATTTTCACCTGAACGCGAGTTACTCACAGCCATTGACAGGAATCACGTAAATTGTTTTTCTTTACTGGCGAGTCAGTGAGGCTGACGCAGTGGGAAAGGGGGATTGCTCTTTCATTTCAGCGTACAGCGGGGGGGAAATTAAAAAAATTGTGACAGAAAAGCATAAGGGGGAGGTTAGGAAACCCAAATGTAGCTTTTATCTAAGCTGGCAATAAAGCAATAACGACATTTCAGTGAAGCTGAATCAAATCGACTCTGTAGTTGGTAACACATTTTTTTTTTTCTTCTTTTTCTTTTCTCCTGAAACCTTTTGTTGCTCATAGTAAGTGCAGCTGTGAGGAACAAAGCATTATGTGTGTTATGTATTCATTATGTGTTCTGAGGGACCCTATCTAACCAAAGTTCAAACGAATGCATTGTTAATCGTCTTCCTTCTAGTACTGAACTGAAAGGGTCTTCATTCAAGGTGTGAAGCAGACTTCACTCACTCAATAGCATGAAGAGGCCAATAGTGTTAATGTTACCAGACACTGTGAAAACCCTCATTGACCCACATTTATAGCAGGTTATTTATGACATTGAAGTGCTGCTGTCGGATCAGTTTCTTCTTCACTGTAAGGTTCTATTGCTAAACATGCTGTTCCTGGGTCTGTGATCTTGACAGCTTTGCTGAACATGAACATCTCCTCTTCAGTGCCTGGTTTAACATGTTAATCTCCGTTAGTTAGAACTGTGCAATACTTCTTTAGTCAATAGGATTGAATACCAGCATTGCAGCAGTGGGATGACAATGCAAGACAGTCCCAAAAATCAAAACAAAAGCAAAACTGCATCTCAAAGGTCATGGGGAGAAAAATAAAATATTGTATTATTTTTGCAAATTACCAATTTAAATGTTAAAAATGTTTAAAACAATAGATAAAAAAGTCTGTGCTCCTTGGAAAAATACTTTTTTTTATTTTTTGTAAAAACATCTGAACTATATTTACTGTAACTGTGAAATTACCTGATACAATGATACATTGTAATTGTAAGTGAAAAACAATCAGAAACATTTTAGACTACAAAATAGGTAAATAAACATTGTACAATATCCTGGTTGCATAAATGTGCAATTTATGTGTTATGATCTGATAAGACAAAGGTTGAACATTTTGGCCATAATTCTAAAAGGATATGTTTGGTAAAAAATAACACAGCACCCTACGAATTGTGAAACATGGTGGTGGCAGCCTCATGCTTTGGGGCTGCATTTCTGAAGACAGAAATCATTAATAGCTCCAATTACCAGTCGATTTTCCTGCAAAACCTTCAGACGTCTACTAGAAAGATGTGGACGAATTGCACCTTTCCCAAAAAGACCCAAAGCATCTTGTGCAAACAAAAAAAGGCCAGGGCCAAAATGGCAAAAGCTTTTAATGGTCTTAACAACAAATCTTCAAACAAATGGTTTCACATATTTGAAAAACATTGCCAAGCTAGTTTATGTTAAATGTTAGACCAAATATTCTAGGGATTAAATCTGGACTCTGCATCAGTAAAGCATCAGTAAAAATCCTTATATTTTAAGCTTGTCCCATTTTTTTTGCACAGGAGTGTGCATCCAAATCAACAAAGAGATGACTTCACCAAAGAACATTAGTGTTATAGAATGGACCAGCCAGCCTGAATCCAGTAGAAAATCTGTGGGGTGACATGAACAGAGCTATGCACAGGAGATGTGCTCACAATTTGATGGACGTTTTTGCAAGAGAGAGTGGGAAAACATTGTGAAGTCAAGATATGCCACACTGATAGACTCCCACCCAGAATAACAGTAACTATAAAATTTGGGTGATGCTGCATTTGTAAGCCTATAGAAATAAACGTTGTATTTCTCTGTAATGCTAACCCAGGTGGATCTAGTCCTAATTTCTACAATTTCTGTTCCTGTTCATGTATGTTTGTGCAAAGCATCGGTAGATATGTACATGAAAAATATTCGGCCCACAATTCCCATGTTGGTGCTTCCCTAATAATTGTATCAGCGTAGGTCATGCATACAATAATATTTCTAAATGAATGAGTTAAGCAGTATTGTAATCATGTTTTCTCCCCTTCGTACCCCCAGGTGAGATCCGCATGGCGTTTGTGCTCTATAAGCACCTGGGCACGTACCTGTCCACTGAAAACGCCAGCATGAAGTTCAGCAACGAAGCCCTCGGTACCAACTACTCCGTCATCGTCAACTCACCCGTCATTACAGCCGCCATTAACAAAGACAGCAACAAGGTTTACCTGTCCGACCCCGTCATATTCACTGTCCGCCACATACAGGTAAGAAGACCCAAGCGACTGTATTTCCGTCCCAACATCCATCCACTCCCATCCCATCGGATCTAAGTTACTGTTATATACTCAAAGCAATAGTTCAGTGAAAAAATCTAAGTTACACAACTTTCCTGTACCCTAAATGTGCTCAATCAGCTAAGACATGTTTTTTTCACTGAGGCTGATTCCGCTGACCAGAAATGGAAGCTTATAGCTACTGATTAGCGCCATATAAACTGCATGTTTAAATCAAAAAACCTGCCTCAAACCGTGTCGGGTTGTTTAAGAATCTCAAACAGACTGGTATGATGTTTTATTTTTCCATAGAACAGGATAAAAGTGCAAAATTCAACTTCAAGATGGATGCTATTACTGTTTTAGCTATACAGCCCTCCCTAGCCTTAGACTTAAGTTGATTCTCACTAATTTAAGTTGGTTCTTGCTAATTTAAGTTGGCTGTTAATTCAATTCAACTTGAATTCAACTAGCTTGTGACATAGATAGCAGTAACAGCAGTCTAACAATGCAGACACAAGCATTTATTTAAGTAGCCATCACGACTAGCCAACTAGCTAACTAAGCTAAATGTTTGCTAGCAAAATAGAAATGCTGTTTGTTGAGCTTTGTGAAGATCACATTCGTTGGTAGTCATGGCTCTCGAATAACTGCTCAACGACAGGCCGGCCACCTTCTTTTTTCTTGCCTACGATTTAATTGAAATCAAGTAAAAAGAAGCCATTATATGCTAGAATGCATTCTGATTGGCTGTTTTGTGAAACTTGTCTCAGAAAAGCGAGTTTAAAGTGAGCTGCAGTGGGCTTCGTGTTATGCAACGCCAGTGAAATTTATTTTCATAAATGCTTCCATCAACTTATGTTGTGTAAATGTAAAGCTAGCCTAAGTGAAACTTTCTGCCCTTCCTCCTCTTCAATTTCTCCTGTTCAGTAGACTTTTCTCACCTCCAAGAGGTTGTGTGGAGTGGGGTAAGTGGGTACCTGAGGCATCTGTATAAATACGGGCTTTATCACTTTTCCCTGCAGGCCGCTTACTCATGCAGCTAGCGTTTATGCTAGTATTAGCTTTCTTCTTCCACTCGATTTCCATCAGGAACGCACACACATACTCACACGCCTGTTTGCCTCCAGCACTTATTAGACAGGTTAAGGGACCTCTGGAAGTTGCAGATATTCTATATGTATGTGTGTGGAGAGATGGGTGGGTGGGTGGGTGTGTTCTGAGCGAGGGACTGCAGAAAGAGAGCGAGAGATAGAGTGAGGAAGAGGGACTTGGAGAGATGGTGGGTTTCTTCTGAAGTAGAAGAGATCGTGGTGGTGTTCAGGTCAGTGGCGTTATTAAGGCTTCCCTCCTACCTGCTATAATTTGGAGGATGAAGAGCGTTGCACGAATGCACAGTGGGGCAGGATAATGCACGGCTCAGTGGATTACGGCCCTACATTTACATCTCCCTCTGTTTCTCTTCCTCTCTTTTTTCTCTTTCCAGTTCAGTTCAAAGTAGAGATGCCCCAGTATGGATTTTTTTGGGTAGATAACAAGTTATTGGTGTATCCATGCTAATAAGCTTGACTGCTGATCTAACAACAACAAATTTACCATCGTAGTAGAAGTAGTGTGCCATTCTGTGGTCAGTGACATGGAGCTCCAGGTTTAAATGGCGTTCTTAATAATTGCTGCCATCGTGCCCTGTGGTAAACAAAGCGGATACATTCTGTCCTTTGTACACTTTTGCCCAAAATATCTCTGGATTATCAATGATTTATGTGGTTGTTAAGTATTCGAAATATGAATATTGCTATGTCCATGGTACGAGCATAGAAATGACCAAGCATGAAAGCATGAAAGCATTAACCACCGATATATCGTGTAACCTTAGTTCTAAGAGAACATGTGCCTTATTATTTTGTAGTAATATTGCCCAAGCAACTCAATAGTGCTAATGCTCACGTCGGGAATAAACGAGAGGAAAAGCTGATGTTTCTGTGTTAGTCTTAGATCTTCACAAAATAGATTAAAGTGAAACATTTCATAGATGTGAACATTTCTTTCTCACCCCTCATTAAAGCCCCCTTTTCAACTCTCAGTGATGGATATTGTTGAAGAATCTCAGACTGTATTCCTTGGTGTGATTTTAGCGTGATTGCATCAGTAGACTCGTTGTAACATGCAGCTATAAAGAAAATCAGTTTGTTCCTCTAAATTTGTTCCTCCTTTGATTTTCCCAATCAAAGTGAAACCGCACTCTCTGAAGGAAGAAAGCAGGAATCAAACTCACCGCTAGTTTTCCCAAATTTCTCTCCAGGCATTTTGGGGCCTTGGGTCCCCTACAAAACCCCTATCAATGCACCAGTGTTTACATCATGAAAGAAGATGCTAGCATTTCCAGGAAGGGCAGTTATGACCAATTTGCGTCGACATAGACTGGAGACAGCCTTAAACCTGAATCAAGGGTTAGAGCAACAAATTATTTGCCTTGTAAATTTATGCTGCCTACTTTCATGCTTTCTGTTCCCCACAGAAATAAGGTTAGCCTGAGTAAATTTAACATAGGCTGATGCTAACTAATGGAAGCTCGCTATGTCTTTAGCAAGCTGTGTATGCAGATCATTAAGGTGATGTTAGATGCAAGTCTAAAATGACAGATCTTCATCAATGTAAACATATATTCCAGTTGTTACTATTACTTTATTCGCAATCATGCTGACAAGTGCCTCCTACTCGCCAGGGCCCTTGGCTGTATCCCTTTGAGTTCAGTGAGTAGGTCGTTTCTGACCCCTCGTCCACTTCTTTACCCCTACAGCAGTCGGAGGAGAACTTCAACCCCAACTGCTCTTTCTGGAGCTACTCCAGACGCAGCATGACGGGCTTCTGGTCCACGCAGGACTGCCGCCTCCTCGGCACCAATCGCACTCACACCACCTGCTCCTGCACTCACCTAACAAACTTCGCTGTGCTCATGGCCCACGTGGACGTCAAGGTAGGAGATCCATTGTGCTTCTCTAGTTACAGTTCAGTCTATGTAATCAATTTGGTCAGACTCCTCTACAAACTTGTATTTTCCACATTATGCAATGCAAATGAAATGGTGCTAGCATATGTGCTAACAGCGAACTCTTTAGACAGTGATAATCCTGAAAATAACAATCGACAAAAAGCATTCCAGTTTGTATTAGTCCTTGTCTTAGTCCTTAGTGTCCTTTTTCCTGACCTAGAAAAGGGTAGAACTAAACACTTCCTAGACCAGAGGTCTTTAAATCTGGACTTGGAATTAGTTTCTAGTCCTGGATTTTGTGGTCACTGGTATATGTGACGCTAGGTAACCTCAACAGTCAGTTAACTACTGGTAATTCCAAAATCTCGGACAGGGGTCAGCAATATGTGGCTCCAGAGCTGCATGCAGCAGAATTAGATTTGTAGGTAAAAATAAAATAATCCTCCTTTCCAGCAAAATAAAGCTCTTCTGATCGTTCAACACAGGTTTAAAAATAAATGGTCTTAAACGCTGGAGTTAATGTAGCCTATAACTGCTAATTCACCAACCTATAACCCTTAAGGTTGGCACGCAGACTGCTGGTCATCATAGCAATGCAGACAACAATCTCACCTAGTTAGCAGTTAACAAAACAGCAAAGAGAAAGATTTAAGACAAACGTTGATAATTTGGAGACAAACAGACTTATTTGCATTTTTAATCACTCCAACTGGTTTCCTTATACGTTTAATCTGCAATGAGAAACTGTCAAACACTAAAATTCACAAGGCTGAAGTCAGCTCCTCATTCGCCAGCTTCTTGTGCAGATTTTTGCAACTTAAATGGTGCAGCAGTTACATTCTGGCACCTCAGGCACCATTTAAGGTGGAACAGGAAAATTTGAAAAAGAAAATGGCGAATGAGAAGCTGAATTCAGCCTTGTAAAAAGTAAAACACTGGGAGACATTTTACAAGAAACTATTCTACTATTGAGGAAAGGTTTCCTGCTGGAGATGCAAGAAAAGCAGCTATAACTGAGCTAAAGCTTAAAGCAGAGCAAAGTAAGTCTGCATTTCGTTTCTATTTTATTTTTTAGCCTATACTAGAACATTAGCACATACTGAGACATATTTACAGCCAAGATGGTAAAATGGACATTAAATGTTGCGGCTCCCAAGGTGGTTTTTGTTAAAAGGACAAAATGACTCTTCTTAACATTTGGGTTGCCAACCTCTGATCTAGGACCAGAAACTAGATTCAAGGCCCAGATTTGGAGACTCCTGGCCTAGACATTAGCACTGCTATATGAAGCACTGTGCCAAGATCAGTGCCGTCAGAGCAGTCCTGCTAATGGCCAGTGATGCAAACTTGCATATCACAGTTCATTAAAAATACTCAAAGTAAAGATTCACAACTAATTTTTTCACCTCTGAAGTCACACAGAACTCCAGACCGCAGAAGAGTGGACTGAAATTTTACAGTCCTGCACTCAACCAAATATTTAACACCATGTTTTCTTTAATTAGGTTAAAATTGTTCTTATGGACACACTCTGTCAAAGTACAAAGTATGCTCCACGAATACATTCCAGTGGCCAATCAATGACTGATTAATTTTGGACATTGTCACATTACAGCCGGATATGTAACAGAGGCTACAACACCACCTGTAAAGGTGAAGCCCACTCACTCTAGTGTTGTTAGTCCTGCTTCTGTGGTGTAGCAGGCTGAAAGTCTGGCATAGAGGGATGTCAATAAAGCATGCTCATTAGAATTCGAAGCTGCGTCCCAATTCAGGGGCTGCATCCTTTGGAGGCTGCATTTGAAGGACGATTGCATCACAGTGGCGCAACTAGGCTGTCCCATTTCGAAGACTCCTTCATATGCGGCCGAGAAATGTGTCCTTCTTTTCCATGGCAACGAAGGATCCAACAGGTGGATCCTCCACCAGCCAACACATTGCGAGGTTCATTGCATGCCGGCGAGGATTCGAGAACAGCGAATAGCGTCTGAAGCGTGCATTGGGTTTAAACTGAGTCGAATAGCTAACGATATAAATGTTAAAAAAGCCAATGGGGTCTAAAGCAAAACTTATGCTAACATTCAAGCAACAGCGGTGAAGCATCACCAGCTTTAATGAATGAAAAAAATAAAAAAATAAAATCAAAGTTCATGATTTCATGGTGCAGCAGTAAGGGAAAGGCAGGAACAGCGGTGCTGTGACGCAAACAGGAAATGCACCATAGAGCAGACCGTCTCATTTCAGTTCAGCCTTTGCGGGTCTGCACAGCCTTCGTAGCCCCTGAATTGGGACACAGCCATAGTCTGGAATTTAGCTGGTTTGACATATTTCTATTGTTGTATCAAGTATTTTACACTGGGACTTTAACATCTGGTGTGCTATTAGGATTTATTCACTGTTTCTAAAGGCAAAGGCCTGTAATGTCTGCAAATGTATTTACCATATACATGCCCAGTCCATTCGTTAGGGATGTCCAGCTGGTCATCGTGTTGTTCTGTTACAGCTCCTAACACAGCTGAGTCAGTTCTGTAAGAAACGTGACTGTGACTGAGTTGTGAACTGCTCCACTGCGACTGAAGAAGCTTTATTGCTCTGAATGCACAATGAAATAAGCCTCAGTTTCCCTTTCTCTGACATCGATTGGTCTCGTATATGGCGCTTGCTGTATATCATCCTCTCTAATGCTGCCCATGAATATGAAGTTTATTGACCGTGTGGCTGCCGCTGCTGCTGTTTTGGTCTTTTGTGTGCGAATGCCCCCAAGAGATGACCTCGGCCAGGCGGCGGCAGCTTTTCGGAAAAATATTTTTGCCGCATTATTTCGAGATCGATGTGCACTAAATGCTGTTTGATGGTTGTTGTTCTGCCCATATTAGAGGTCAGGCGTCCAGCTCGATGGCAGCAGTGTTTAAACACAGAAAAAAGGAAGAATGGTTTGCCTGCCGAGAGAGAGAGAGAGAGAGAGAGAGAGAGAGAGAGAGAGAGAGAGAGAGAGACACGCTTGATATCAAACAGAACCTTCCCAGGTGCATCATTTCCATATTCTTAAGTGCTGCCTTTCCCCCAATCTCTCTAATTCTTTTATTTCTCTCACCCTCTCTTCTCTTTTTTTTCTCTTCTGCCTTTCACTCACTGTTTTTCTTGCTTTAGTTCTTTTCTTCTCTTTTATCCTTCTCTTGTCTTCTTGTCTCTCTCTCTCTTGCTCTCTTTCTCTCTTTGTTCTCTTTCCTTTTTCTCTGTCTGTAGTTCTCCCTCTCATTCTCTTACTTCTCTCTCTTTTTTCTTTTCTTTTCTCTCTCATTCTGTCTTTCTCTATCTCTTACTAATTTTATGATTTCTCTTGCTTTCTCCCTCTCTTACTTTCTTCTACCTCTCTTGCTCTTTTTCTTTCTTTCCTTTTCTTCTCAATCTCTCTGATTGTCTTTTCTCTCTCTCTTTTCTCCCTTATTCTCCTTTTTCTCTCATTCTCTTCTCTCTCTTTCACTTTTTTATGTTTGCTCTCTTGTTTTCTGTCTCTTTTCTCTCTCTCATTTTCTCTCGTTCTCTTTCTCGTTTTTCTTCTCTTTCTCTCTTATTTGACAATTTCTCTCTCTTGCTCTCTCTCCTTTTCTTACTCCTCATTCTGCCTTTCTCTCTATTTTTTTACTTCCTTTTCTTCTCACTCTCTTTGATTTTCTTCCTGTCTTCCTTTTCACTCTTTTTCTTTTCTCTCATTCACTGTTGGTTGTCTTTCTTGTTTTCTGTCTCTTTCTTTTTTCTATCTTGTTGTTCCTCTCTTTTCTCTTTGTCTTGTTTACTTTGTCTTCTCTGTTATTAGTTGTATTCTTTTCTCTCTCGTTCTCTCTTTCTCTGTCTCTCTCTCTCTCTCTCTCTCTCTCTCTCTCAGCTGCTGGAGGTGGCTGTGTCTTTTAGCAATATAGAATAAAAACCCTCCAAATTAATATATTTGACAGAGGCATAAAGGAGAAAATTAAAAAAAAGGGAGAGAGGGAGACAGAGGGAGAGAAAGAGCAAGAGAGTGAATGGAGGGAGAAAACAAAGATGTGAGGGTGTGCGGTCGGGGAACAGACAGGACTTTATATATATATATATATATATATATATATATATATATATATATATATATATATATGTATGTATAGAAAGAGAGAGAGAGAGAGAGAGAAAGAAAAAGATAAAGCAATATAGAGAAGAAGAGAAAGAGAGGGAATGGGGCATATGGAACTAGATGCAGAGGTAGAGAGAAAAAAAGAGATGAAGAGGCCAAAGAGAAGGAAAGAGGAGAAGGACAGAGAGAGAGAGAGAGAGACAGAGGGAGAGAGACCGATAGTGAGAGGAGCTAGGGAGAGAGAGTGGAAAGGACAAAGAGAAAGAGAGACAAAGGACAGAAAAAGAATGGTGGAGTAGAGAAGAGTGACGGGCGTTTTGATTAGCCTCTCACAAAGAGAGAGACCTGTGGGCTGTCCCTACGGTCCAGCAGTGAAAGGACAGGAAAGAGAGGACTCAATAAACGTCCTCTCTGAGCTGCTGTACAAGCTCAGGGAGGTCAGTGCGCTTGAACTGAGAGGGCAAAAGCAGGAGTCAACCCAAATCCCACAGCCGGCAGCAGCGCTGACCGTCTGATATCAGTGCTGTAATGGGTTACTGCTTCGTATCATACAGGTATATATATTTGCCTCTTTATCGGAAACACCTTGTAGCACCACCTCACTGGTTTACAGTTGGAGACTGTTACTATCTGGTGATTTGATTTGTGTAAGTCATCCTCTAGTCCTTCATCAGTGGTCAGTTTATGACCACAGAGTCGCTCTTGGCTGGATATTTTTGGGTTGGTGGTCCACTCTCACCCTAGCAGTGATGCTCTCAACTCCAGCAGCATCGTTGTGTCTACACTTTTACCAGCAGCACACACACTACGATATGAGTGTCACTGGTGTGCTGAGAATGATCCACCACCCAGATAATATCTGGACAACAGCGGCCCT